AGCGGGATGCACGCTCAGGCAAGTCACTAACTAGCCTCTGTTAATAACTAAATAGCGTAATTGGAGATCTCGACGCTGAGTTTAGCTGTACTTTTTGCTCACTGGCGGGGTTTACCTTGTTTCCCCAAACTCCCCTGAGCACTTGACTGAAGAACAGCCGTGTACAGTGATGAGCAGCGGAAGTTCTTTCCTAAGACGGCCTTTGTCATAGCTTTTTCTGCAAGCAGAATGTATTTTGGTAAGTCATTAAGCAATCCCTTTCCAGAATAAGGAAACCACGAGTCGAAGGAAGCGCTTGGACACTCGCCTGTTTCCTCATTTGGCTCTGCAAAAAGTAGAGCTCTTCAGCTCTGCCTCCATGAGGAATTTCCCCATCCTGGTGAAGGTGGGTGCGAGTGTCACCTCGCAGGGAATGTCCTGTTCCGAGGTGAATTCCTCACATTCCCCTTTCCGCGGGAGTGCTGAGGGGATGGCCGCACGATGCCGCAGCCCAGCACAGGTAGCAGTGGTAGCTGGATGGATGGGAGCAGGCACGTTTCCCCGTTCCAGCTGGGCCGTTGCTGGAGTACGTCAGATGGCTGTTTGCACTAAGAATATTTCATGGCTTTGAATAGCGACGCTCTCTCCCTCCTGCCTCTGAAAGCAGCTATTTTTTCCTGACCCCCCCTTCTCAATAGAGCGGTGGCTTTGCAGCCAACTCCTGTTTTATTTTTAAATGCTTTCTGGAGGGTTATTACCGAAGAAACTCGCGTGAGTAGCTTGAGCCAAAAGGTAATGCCTGAGTAAAGGGTGAGGAGTGAGCACCCTTGGGGTTCCGTAATTAAAAACACCCCAGGGTGTGAACTTTCCGCAAGTGCCAAGCAGGGCAGTGGGCTAACCAGACTGTGCTGGGGCTTCAGAGGGACTTGGGAGCCTTTTCAGTAAGGGCACATCCCTCAGGCAGTCCTCGAGGGCGCTGATGATCCCCCCTTCGACGCTGACTGAAGCTGCTGTGACCAGCTTGGTATGCAGTGCTTGTTTTGCCAGGCTGGGATATAAAACAGACAGTGAAATGGTCTCGCGGAAGCACTGACTGGGCAGCGGGGTCTCTCGCAGCCTCTGCTGAATGGTGGCTTAGGAATATGCTCAAGTACTCAGTATCCACCAAAAACTGACTGAGCAACGATGCCTTTAAGCCCATGATAACGTTGGAGTATTCCTGTGAGGACCAACTTCTCTCATGTTGCTTTCTGGTGCATTTACACGCCAAATGCTCCCGTTAGCCTTGTCTAAAGCCTTTAGTGTCCGCGTTTCCATGATTCCCTGAATCCAGCGGGGCCGCGCTGCCCGCGGTGTGCTGTGCCCTCGTGCGAGCGGTTGGGGTGGGTGTCAGGGTGTGATAGTGCTCCACGGCCACCCTGCCAGTGCCGATAAACCACTGTGTTCTCAGTGGCTTACCAGTACCAAGACGTTTTTCTCTGGGGAAAAACTGCCTGTAACTTCTGAGGTGTTTTTCCCTTCTGCCAACGCTCAGTCACTGTAGCTTCCCTGTGGTCTTGAGTTTTTTGGGAAGTGCTGCAACACGTGGCTCAACGCCTGTAAATACCACCTGGGGCTTTCTGTGAGTCAGTCACCTTGAAAACAGCGTGTGAAACCCTAGGGGAAGTGACTGTACCGGGTTCTCCCCGGCCAGATGTTTACCAGGCACTTCCTCCTGCGATTTCTGGAGTCCTTCGTCATGGCCTCAAAAGAGGGAAGTGGGAGGCTTGTTTACACTAGCATCAAACCCACCCCCCTCGCTCGCAAACCAAACTGCTGTATACGAAATGAAAGGGTAAAAATCTTGGTTTAGCTTAATGGTTGGGGGAATTGGCTGCCAGCAAAGCCGAGCGCGTTTGGGCTGGTGTCTCCGTGTGCTGTGAGGTGCTGGGACAGGCTGCCCGGAGAAGCTGTGGATGCCCCATCCCTGGAAGTGTCCAAGGCCAGGCTGGATGAGGCTTGGAGCAACCTGGGCTAGTGGAAGGTGTCCCTGCCCATGGCAGGGGGTGGGGCTGGGTGGGCTTTGAGGTCCCTTCCCACCCAAACCATTCCATGATTCTATGCTGTGTCTGACCAGTCCGAACCGGGTTGCCCGGGCTGTAGCCGTGGCCCTGGTGGCATCCTGGTCAGGATGAGCCACCGTGCTTGGAAACCCCGTGATGTTCCTCACTGCCCAAGGCTCCAAATGATCGTTTTAATGAGCAGGAAGTTATTTGGAGCTGGATTCAGCTGGAGACATTTAATTTGCTCGGCGTCACTGCCAGCAGCTCACGGTGCAGCTCCATGCTGGTTATTCCAGCAGCAGCTCTTCCCTGTTGGTCTGCGCCTCGCTGTGCCAGCCCTTCGCCGCCGTCGAGGCGAGCGGTTCCCTGGTGCCGCTGCTTATCTTCAAGTTGTTTTTCACTCTCGAGGAGTGTAGCTGTACCTTGTTCCTCTTTTCTAATCGCACTGTTGATAGGATGCAGGGCTGTGCGACTAGGCTAAAGAAATCACTAGTTACGCCCAAAAGCATGGGGTGCCTAGATCCAGAGCTCAAATTCAGGTGTCTTGCGGAACCCAGGAGCAGCGTTTCAGAGAGCCATCCAAATATCCTGCTTGTGTGGCTCCGGAATCACCGCCGTGCCAGAGAGCAGGCTGCCGAACTTCTGGGATCACGGCCTCCGGGCAAAAACGGCCCCACATTCCCAAACTTTTGGCATCTCCTGGAGTCTGGAGTTTGTGAGCCTTTCTTATGGGGTTTATTGGCACTGCAGGTATACCCGAATGCTGGCTGGAATAAGCATCAGGGAACTACCCTTGGTTGTATAATTACTGCTGTCACCAAACCAAATGCAGCTGCTCGGAGGATTTTTGAAAGCCTACTTATTTTTTAAATATTCACTGACATAACGAAGCCATTCCAGTACGGAGCTGGGATCCACGAGCCGCAGCAGCGGTCGGCTGTTTATTCCTGGAGGCATCCCTTGCCGTTTGGGCTCCCGCATCCCATGCAGGCAGCGCCGAAGCAGGGTGGGTGTAACAGGCTGCACCACTGAGTCACTCTTACGTGGTACCGCAGGGTGGGAGGATGCAGTGGCTGGGCACGTGACAGGCCAGTGAGCTGATTACTACAGCCCTGATGTAGTATCGAGCTGACTGTTAATCCTTTTAGTCCTGTAAAGGCTAAATATATCCAGAGTTTAAGTCTAACCTTGGATCTCCTGCTTAATTCCACTGGCGGTCTCACGTTATGGTGTATCGGGGGGAGAACGCCACAAATCGGTGGGAAGGAGCGGAGTCCCTGGTTTCATCTTGGTGTGCTAGCAGGCATGAGGCTGAACAAGCTGTTTATTCCTGTGCCTGGCTTTCCCCGGCCTGCTTAGGTGCTGCTGGAAGTATGGAACGCGCTTTGGTGTGTTCGGGTAGGCTTACGGAAGGGACTGGGTAAGGCAGGAGTCTCCAGGTCTTCACCAGGAGCTGGGAAGCGATCAGCTTCACTCAGTATCGTTCTCAAAGGCTGCTTTTCTAGGGAAAAAGCAGGATTAGTATCGTTCTCAAGGGCTGCTTTTCTAGGGAAAAAGCAGGAAGCGGTGGCAGGATGGGCTGGAAGTCTTCAAAGACGTGTTAAACCAAGGAAGGTAGCTGGAGTAGGTACTGGAGGTGAGTGAGAGGCTGCCCGCCTTTGCCCCGGAAGGAACCGTGAGCCACTGACGGCGTTAGCAGCACCAAATCCCCCAGGATGCTCTAGACTTTGCCAGTAAGTAGGAATTAAACTGTTAACAACCATCGTGCCTATCCAGGAGAGTCTAATACAGTGCTGCTTTTTTAGGGTTTTGAAATGACTCTCTCCCCCTCTTCCCCCTCCCACCGCAGCCTCGTTAGCGCGGAGGCTTGCTATTTTAACTGCAGTGAGCAACGACAGAGTAACTCGCCTGCAGCGGCTATAAAGAGGGCTGGCACGGTTTACTGGGGGCTACTGGTCCCTGATGCTGGACGTGGCTTTGCTGAGGCCGTTTGGCCAGTTCCCCGTGGCCAGTAACACCCAGCCCATGGTGGAAGGTGGCCACGTTGACTGTGTGACTGGCTGGCAGCTCCAGCCAGGTGATTTGGCTTTAAAACCTGCTTGTCTTGTTGGACTGACTGCATCCAAAGCCAGTCTGCCCTCCGTGGGTCTACGGGGTTCGGTGGCTGGGGTCTTTTGGCCCTGGCTGGGGGAGGAGGGTGAGTGGTGGGAGTGCTTGGGGGGGCCTCTGCCATCCCCTGGGTAATGCATTGCAGGGTTTCCTTCAGAGAACTGTTTGCAGTGAGTAAAACTAAGCTTGTTAACCTTTCCCTTGTGGGTTTTTTTTTCCCCTGGCATGATCTCCCTTCTGCACCTCGGAGCTCCTCCCGACTGTGTGAAAGCCGCATGCGAGCCCTGAATCTGATTAGAGCTGGAGAAACTGCGGAGTGAACTGCTCGTCGGCCTTGGGCCGGGATGGCAGCCTGGGCTTCTGCCCCTGGCTCCACGTTTTTGGGGGTCAGAGTGCTGGGCTTTGCCTGTGCTGCTCCCTTTTACAGCAGATCTGGTGATGCAGCCCGTCTGCCGGATGCTGGGTATCTCACGCCGCTTTTCCCGCAGCGGTAGTGAGTATCCTGGAGCAGATTCCGCTGCAGTAGGGTTATCTGAGAAAGCAGGAACACAGGCTTAGGTCGACATGACTGTTACACTGGTTGAAACAAGATGAAATCGGGGTTTGCAGTGTCTTGGACGGCTTGAATGCCTATTTTCTTCCTTCCTCCTCTTAGAGTTGCTTGTCTTGAGTTGAGCTTTCAAACTGGAAGAGGGAGGCAATAAAATACCAGCTCTAAGAATAATGACATCCTGCCGATGTCTAATTCCAGTTTCTAACCTGGGTGAGAATGCAACTGCCTCAGTCCCAGTTCACTTGGTGCAGTTTCTCAGTTGCTCAAGGCAACTCCAGGTTGACTTGGAGGTGTGAAACACTTGTGTGTCTTCGCAGGGCCACGATGGGCATCCTGGAATATCGGTGTGTTCATCTGTATTCGCTGCGCTGGCATCCACAGGAACCTAGGAGTTCATATATCCAGGGTAAAATCTGTCAACCTCGACCAGTGGACACAAGAGCAGATACAGGTGAGGGGAGGGGAACACGCGGTGTGTGGCTGTTGGTGGGGCTGGGTATGTCAGAATCAGAGGCTGAGTAGCCCAGGGGTGTGGGAAGCGAAGCAGGAAGAGGATAGCAAGCTGGTTGGATTGGAAGGAAAAATGTCCTGCTCAGCAAACAGAGGGTTAGGACAAAGTGCCTAAAATTCCCATAAGGGACTGTTGTCCCACGCCGGAGCTGCTGCCTGCCTCCTCTCCTTGAGGTTTCCAGGGACAAATGGACTTCCAGAGGAATGTGAGGTTGATAATGTCATATTTGTCTTTGAATGAATATTGTGCTGTGGGGCTTAGGATTGGCCATTGTACATGGAGGGGGTTGTAGTGGCTGCATCGGGGACTCCCAGCTGGTAGGCTCAGACCAAAAGCTGGGACCAAAACCCTGAGAAGCGATTTTTGGGTACAGGACAGACTTGGTGGGGCTGGCTAACAGGGACAGATGTGGGCTTGGCAGCCTGTCGTGCTAGTGTGTGTAAGAGCTTTAACGTCTGAAACAAAGTGCTGAAGGGTTCTGCTTGAATTGCAGTGCATCCAGGAGATGGGAAACGGAAAAGCAAATCGTCTGTATGAAGCCTACCTGCCAGAGAACTTCAGGCGACCTCAAACGGATCAGCATCCTTCCTTTGCTGCTGAGGAAGACTGGATTCTCTTCCTCTGGGGGCTTAGCAGCCGCGCTCCTCGTGTAGGAGGTTTAAGTTTGCGTGCCCAGGCATCGGCTGGGAGAGCCTGTGCCTAGCTAGGCTCCCCCTGAGCGCGGCTTCACCCGCCGGCTGCCTCCTGGCTTGCGGAAGGAAGCAGAAGGGAGCTAGAAGGATTGCTTCCGAGCTGTGAGGGCGGAGAACAGGGATGCTACAGCCTGAAGTTACTGCACGAGATGTGCTCTGGGGGCTGTGGCAGATAAGATGGGGTTGAGTTTTGAAAGTGCTGGGCATCTAAAAGTCTTAGTGGAGGCAAATAAGAAGGTTTAAGGCTTCTGAAAAACTAAACTGTAACGTGTAGCTCCCCAGGAGGGTTTCTATTTGCCCAGTGCAGCAGGGATGTAGCGATGTGAGCCTGAAGGAACACAGCAGTGCCTCTGCTGTTGCTTTGGTCTTAAGCTGGCGGCTGAGATGCTTTTGTGCGCGCAGGATGTGTTTCTCTGCCCACTGGGATCCGTGCTAATGACGTGTGCGCTCCTAAGCGATGGTTGAAGTCAATACAAGTCACTGAAGAAAACCCACCAGGACTCTAAGCCCTGATTTAACGTACCTTTTATAGCACCGTCAGGCTTGGAATGGTGATTCCACGGGCAAAAATTGAGTAGCTAGAGTAGTTGGATCCAACCCTAAATTATTTTAAGGAAGTTACTGCTGGAGCTGCTCTTTAAACAGTCGTTAGTTTAGTTACAGCCTGTACCTTGTAGCCACATGTCAGATCGCGCTACGTAAGTCTGTTCTCGAATCGTTTGCCCTTAACGAGCTGCTTGCAGAGCTGTGGAGAGCTTCATTCGGGATAAGTACGAGAAGAAGAAATACATGGACCGGAGCATCGACATCAATGCGTTCCGGGTTGGTTTCTGATCCCTTCTGCAGCAGCTTGGATGCATGTGAAGCTCTGAGTGTGTGTCTGGCTTATGAGTAAGCAGTGACTCTCTGAAAATAGGCAGCTTAAGCGTTTCCTGTATTAGTGACTAATCTCTTCTCCAAGGCTGGCTGCGTTCAGGCGCTCCGTAGGAAGAATGGAAATCAGAGGGGCTGTTGAAGGCCCCGTTGGCCAGCTCCTTCCTCAGAGCAGGACCAGCTTCAAACACAGGCCTGGAGCTGTGCTCCTGAGCCTGTTTAGATTAGTAACAGCATCGTGTGAAGCTCTGGATGAACTTCCTCTTGGTGTGATGACGTGACTTCTGACCCTTATGTCAGTGTGGTGGGTTTTTTTTCCTTACAGAAAGAAAAGGATGACAAGTGGAAAAGGAATAATGAGCCAGTATCGGAAAGAAAACTGGAACCTATCATCTTTGAGAAGGTGAAAATGGTAAGAGCGAAAGGCATGGCCGTGGGTCAGTTTTCCAGGCTTCCCTCAAGCAGAGGTGATCCAGCTTGATGTGGAAGCATTTTTTTCTGGCCTCGGTCATAGCACTGGACACGTTAAGTCACATCGCTGGGAGCAGCTTGTTTTCCACTGCTCAGCCAGACACTAAGCAGACGTGTTCTGCCGCCCGGAGCAGGGTGGGTTGGCATCCTGCTTGTCCCTGCGTAGCTTTCCAGCTTGAGCACGGTTTACAGCCTGCTGGAGTTTGACAGTGGGTCCCAACACAAAGCAACAAGGAGATAACTAACGCTCGCTCTGGAATTCTGTTCCCTTTGGAAACGTTCTATGCCCCAAAAATTAAAACAGGTTTTAAGGGTTGATCTCTCGTTAAAGCCTGTGATGCATCAGAGTAAAACCAAAATGTTGACGAGACTTCTGGTGGTTTTTTTCCCCAGCCTCAAAAGAAAGAGGAAACTCAGCAGTCCAGAAAAAGTTCTCCGAAATCTACTGAACCCGTGATGGACTTGCTGGGACTCGGTAAGCGCCTTTCCAGCCTCCTTGTGCTTGCTCCGGGTGCCCTGGCACCTTCTCTTCTCCGCTGTTGTTGGTGAGCTTTTGGTACTGATTTCTGACGTCAGGTGAACAATAGCTGATAGGAGACGTAGTGTTTTGCTTCAACTGCTCCTGTGCAACTCACCCAGCGCTCAGCACCACGGCGGGAACAGTCTTCCTTGCGTTTTCCTTGATGTTGGTGCCGGTTGTGCCCACAGCATGCTGGGAGCAGCTGTAGTGGCTCCTGTCTGCTCCGAGGCTGATGGGACGGATACAGCGCGGTGCGCCGACTTAGTCCTGAGCCAGTCCCTCCTCAGCACCGGGGGGTGCGAGTGAGGAGCCGGCAATGTGCTGGCTGTAGCAGGCTGCAGGTCAGGTCGGTGGGTTGTGGCGTATGGCAAGGGGGCTGTCCCTCGGCCGACTGTGTGAACAGCCGTCACATCTTTCTCTCCCAGATGCTCCGGTGACAGCCACGGTTGCAAACGGCAGGCCGAGCAGCTTAGAGAAAGATCTTGACCTTTTCGCATCGGTGGGATCAAACTCTGACTCCAGGAAGGTACGTAGGGAACGTCGGGGCTGGACACGGCCTGGTTTGGCGCTTCTGTGGGATGCGCCTTCCCCCGGTGCTGAATGCGGCTGTTGCACTCGGTGTTGTCTCGGTCTCAGGTCACCGGCTCTATGCCAACATCGGGAAGTGCCGGTTCTGTTCCCGAAAACCTGAATCTCTTCCCTGAGCCAGGAGGCAAAGGGGAGGACGTGGGGAAGAAGCAGCTCTCTAAAGACTCCATCCTCTCCTTGTATGGCTCCCAGACACCGCAGCTGCCTGCGCAAGGTAAGGGATCTCGGGATAGAGCCGTTGATCCGGAGTGGGTGGGGTGTCCTGACAGCTGCCGAGCAAGGCTGTGGGAATGTAGGTGGTCCTGCTCGAGAGCTGGTGAGCAGCATAAGGAGCAGCTCAGCCTGGGTGTCGTAGCCGAGCGCCTGTTGCGATAGTCTCTGATTTGAAGGCCGTCACTTCAGCCTCTGATGATGCAGCAGGGGCTGAAACGGCTTTTCCCTTCACTGCTTCCCTGCCTTTTTCCAGGAGCGATGTTCATGGCCCCGGCTCAGATGGCGTATCCCGCGGCAGCGTATACCGGCTTTCCGGGAGTAGCCCCCTCCAGCAGCATGATGGGCGGCATGATGGCCCCGTCGGTGGGAATGGTGGCCCAGCCTGGAGCTGCAGGGATGGTGGCTCCCATGGCC